GAAGAACAAAGCTGAGAGTGAATCATAGTTTTCAGACAACTATGTATGTATAGAGATTACCTAATGAGCATAGTAGTATAAATCTAGGCAATAAAACAGCTCTTTGTAGGGGTCTTTTTTATACTCATAAACTATTAATCTCAAGAGTACCTTTGCTTTAGAGATTTATGTAAATGAATGTTTTATCTAGGGTGTTTGAAGTTTAAGTTACAAACGCCGAGTTCAGCATAAACAGCCCTATACTAGTAAATATCTGTACCTGTCAACATCTTTCAGTTCAAGCCATTTGTATGAAGCCTCTCTTTTTTTTTTTTTAATTTTTCTTTAATGTTTTTTATTTACTTCTAGGAGAGAGAGAGAGAGAGACAGCGTGAGCAGGTGAGGGTCAGAGAGAGAGGGAGTCACAGACTGAAACAGGCTCCAGGCTCTGAGCTGGCAGTCAGCACAGAGCCCGACACGGGGCTCGACCCCACGAATCGCGAGATCATGACCTAAGCGAAAGTCGGACGCTTAACCGACTAAGCCACCCAGGCGCCCCTGTATGAAGCCTCTCTTGATTTCCCCAACTGGGTGTGCTCTCTCTCACCACCTCTAAGCCCCAGAGCATTTTTTACACTTCTTAGAAATATACATTTGGTTGTAAAGTTTTACATTTGTCCTGAGCGATAAGATGTAATAGCTATAAAATAACAAGATGCCAGAAAGAAATACAGTTTAATTCAAAGAAAATGACCAAAATCTAATGAATGTTTTTTTGTTTTGTTTTGTTTTTCATTTGTGGCACCTCTGTAGGAGGCACTAGGACTGTCCTATATATTTCAGGGCATTTAGCCTTCCTGATGCCTCGGGAACTAAGTGACTGTAACACCATTAGGTCTTGAAAAAAAAATACATTCTTACCCATTGACAGTCACCCCTTGAGAACCTCTGGGAGGGTGATTATGACATCCAAGAAGTATTTAAAAGGGTTGGAAGAAAATCTGTGAGGAGTATTTTTGTAGAGAGCTGCT